AATGTCTACTCCAATGAGACTGAGTCAATCATAGATGTTTTAGGGTCCATCTAGTTCCTGGTTTAGCATTGGAAAGACTAATCTTTTCTTCTTTTTTGTAAATATGGTTTTTCAGTACTACCTAAGTACTGACTGAAATACAAATGTTACTAGTGTCAAAAAACAAAACCTCATATTTTTCATAATATCTTTTAGGTAAACAAAAATGTTTATTTGATGGTGAAACTGGCAGCAATTCTTCATTTTTTTATGACGTCATAGTCATTTAACCTTACACAATGTGATGGCAAGGAGGGGTCCCACAATGATACCTTTTTTCAGAATGAAAACAAAAAATCCCACAAAGAAGATTCCATAGTTCCGTTAAATAGAAGGCCGATCAGAATCTAAACAGTAAGTAAAAACAAAGCATTGATCAAAGATTTCATCAACAACCATCATACCCTAAAGCTCTACTAGTCACTACCATGAAGACACATCTGTTTTGTAGATTAAATGGAAGATAACTGAAGAAGACATCACACTAACCTCCTTTGCCCGGATATAAACATCGCTGGCCTGCATTAATCCAGATGATGGTGCACGGGGCTGTTGAATCATGGCTGAAATAGAACATCACCCAAACAACATGAATCATCAAAAAGAAAAAATTGAAAATGAAAGAAAATCCATGCTGTCAAAATTGTAACTAAGAACGAGAAAACTTGACACCTTTGGCATGTGGCATCATAAACCTTTTGCCCTTAGTACCAGCTGCAAGCAATAGACATGCCTGACCTATGGCAGCACCAACTGCTACAGTGTGTATCTGCACGGGTAATTAACAACCTGAGAATCCTAACAAAATCATAAATGGAAAAGTCTGATATATGCTTTCAGAGGTAAACATGAAGCTTAAATTTCAATGTACTTGCTCTGAATGCCTAGAGATTAAGGAAAACAACTAACTATAGATTGTCCCAATTAAGTTTGACACAAAGACTGCAACCGACTTTGAACAAAGCCAAAACTCTCATGCAGATTCAATACAATCACATGGAAAAGAAAAGAAAACTAACTTATCTTTTAACAAAATCACAAGTCAAAATGCCAATGTTGTCTTGTTCTTATCCAGTAAATTTGACTAAAAAAAAAATAAGACCTAGATAAGGAAAAATCCTACATTCTCATGCTAAGATTAAAATGGAACACTTTCTAGCAAGAACTATTTTAGTTGGTGAGAGCTTACCTCGTTTTGAAGTTGCATCATGGAATCATAAATTGCAAAACCTTCTGCTTCCATACCAACCTACATTGATAAAATATCCCAAGATCGGATAATTTGAGCATAACATCGACCCCAACACCAAACACCCATAAGTTCATTTGAAATTTAATAATGCATTTTGTTTTCATACGTATTAACAAAGACCCATATTTTCATCATCTAGAACCATCTAAATAACATAATAAGCTTTTCCATAACTTCAAATTTACATTAATTTATAGTCTTAGTTTAAACTTTATAGTCTTGCACAAATTAACCCAATAATACTCCCCCTGTCTCATGTTACTTGTCCACTTTTCCCTTTACAAGCCTCCTAAGAAATCATAAATAAAAGAAGTATTTTTACTAGTTTACGCTTTAACTCTTATTAATACACTTTATTTATGTGCCTTATCCATCAATACCAAGATTAACAATGGAGGAACTTTACAATCTTATTACTTTCAAAAAGAACTAATTTTAAGGGGAAAATGAGAAAAAAATAAAATTATATCTTGATTTTAATAATCGACAAGTAATTTGGAACAAATACTTTTAGAATGTGGAAAAATAATATGGGATAGAGGGAGTAATAAATAATAATTCAAGTATCTATATTTTTTTATTAAGAAGAACGTACAAAGCATTAATGAGGTCCAAGAAGTCGCACTACACAGTACACATCAATTAGGAAGGGGCAGGTGGGAGTGGTTTTAGGTAATTAATGAGGGCAAAATATGAGAAAATGCAGGGTAAAGGTAACTCAGCAACAACGTGTAAGCATAAACAATGAGATTCCTATAATACTCTATGAGGACTACAGGAGAGAGGCACTGAGCATGCCCCTGTATGAAAACTCACCGTTTCACCATCATCACGGGTAGTCCCAGTAGAATTTATGTATAGATAAATTGGCGCTTTAGGATCCATATACTGTAGGTACATCAACTCTGCAATCACAAGCTCTGTGACTGCTGACACCAACTGAAAAGAAAAATCGTGATTATTTTGTGCTAATGAAGAAATGAAGAGTAAAGGGAAGTTAACTGAACTGCAAATATAAGTAGCAACACACAAGTTGTTGCAAACCAGACTAGAAATTCAGGGTGTCAACATATTTACAATATTCATGTGTGCAAAATTCAATTGCCAAAGAACCATATAACATATCCCAAATGGCCCAAACTTGGGTAAAAATAAAAGTAGTACATCAGATGGAAACTCCAAAAGTCCAAATAATGAAACAAGTAGGTATCAGAGTGTTCAGCTCTTTGCAGATTAAATTAATATGAAGCCATGTAAAAAGACTTCTCCGTTTTAGATAGTTTACCTGCTGTAAAACGCACATAAACCTTAGCTAGTTAAGCCTAAGCCTACTACAAAAATTTTGCACGCCAAAATTAAGATGGTCATTTGTACCTCTAAATCAAGTAAACAAATAAAGACACATAGATTGACATGGTATGATCAAAAACATCTGGGCATGTTGCCTTGAGTAATTAACAATAAATCATCTTTTACATGGTTTATGTTTCTTTTACAATATAGTTTCTGATGTAAACCAGATAACCATGAGCATCCCTGTCACCAGAACTTACAGCAATGAACCTATGATGACAAATATAGTACATTTATCAACTGGGAATGTTAGCATTATCCTCAAAGTAAGATGAAGTTAACTATTAATAAATTTAATTTTAGTAGTATAATTACAAGGTCTTGTGACCTTTTCCTTGGGCCTTGTGTTTTTTATAAGCCATAGGAACACCCCTATCTTTACAAGAGGGAAGGTATGTATACACACTACCCTTCCCAGACCCACTCGTGGGATTACACTGTGTTTATGTTTGTTGTAGACTTGTAGTTGTTGTTGTTGTTGTTGTTGTCACGGAATGCAAAACTATGTCTCCATTTAAGAAAAATAAACACATCTTGTAATAATCCAACAAGGAAAATAGGATAGTTGAATGGGACAAAATTAAGTATTCTAAAGTAGCCGACGCGTCTCACATTTTTCTTTTCTCTTGGAAAGGCGCCTTCAGATAGGGCATGAGAACCTTGTTAATAAAATGGAACAACACATACAAGAGACCCCAACTAAAGCAGAAAGGTTGCGCTGGAGAAACAAAGTAGTTTCTTTGAAGATCTAACAGCTACATTATACATATTGGGATGACAATGTCCAATACAAGCATCTCAAAGAAGTGTCTAATTTACTAAAGAGTTATGTGGGTATTAGTAATGTAGGGATCAGTTGTGAGGGAATCTACGTATTAGTAATGCATGTATTAGTTATTCAACCTTCTATCATGCATAAAATAATACATAACTTGTGCATGTATAAGTTATGCATCCTTTTAAAAACAAAATCAAACACAATATTAATTTTATACATGAATAATCTACCTCTTTAACTAGCTACCAAACGTGGTACTCCCTCCGTCCCATCTTATGTGGCACTTTTCGAATTTTGAGATTCAAACAAGTTTATCTTTGACCGTAAATTTTTCATAGATCTTTTTTTAACATTTAGAATTATCAATTATTATGACTTATTAGTACTTTTTACGTAGTTTACAAATATATAAATTTCATTTCAAATAAATTGAAAATTTCATGCGCAATCATATCCCAGTACGTAGACCATAGATCATCCTGATTTTACCAGCTTCAACAACATCGCGTGCACCAGCCAATTCTCTCCTTCCATCGATCTTGAGGAATCTTCTCGACACAAAATAACATTACATTCACCATTCAATACAAGGATACCAACCAAGAAGTGCCCTTTCTCATCAACACATTTCTTATTTGGCTTTTTATGATGACTGCTAGCAAACAGAACAAAGATGGATGCATCCAAAGTTGTCAAAGGCAAAAAGCATGGAGAAAGATCAAGTATCTGTAGGGACTTTAGTTATATAATTTTTTGTAAGAACATGATTTTTATGAGGAGAAAGAGTGGAACTTGGAAGGGGCAGCAAATCTACCAGAGAAAGAACAACAAGGCATTAAAGCACAAGAATGAACTAGGATAAGATGGTAGAAGGAACAAGTTGAATGTTAGCCTTTATTTCCAAACACCTACTTATGCCAAAACGTTGCAAAAGTCACTAATAAGCACAGGGTAACTCAGAAAATATCAGATGATGAAGAAGATGACATACCGGCATGCCAATATAAACTATTCTACCATGGAGCAACATAGAGGGCAAGTCTGGTGGAGGTGTACTGGCTCTGTGCTCATTGTATGATACTGATCTCTCCACCTAATTCAAATAGCAAAAACAGACCAAACAATACCCATCAGAATATAATTAAAACAAAAACAACAAAAAAGCTTCTGATACATTATTAATTTGCTTTACATATAATCAGTAAAATTAAAAGGGAGGAGAACAAAATCAGCCCAAAACTAAAATCGAAATGAATTCAAATCACACCAAATGAATTCAGTTCAGAACAGACTCCTAACAACATAAGCATCCTATTGCAGCCGCTTCTTTCCTAAACAATCTCTAATAAAATCTACAAAAAAATTGATAGAAAATTAAAAAAAATGCTGTCCGAAAAGAAGAGAATGTGAGGGTCAATAGTCTGAATCTATACAGAGATTTCTTATTCTCTAAAAAAAATTACATATCTATGAAATACATAAATAGCAGAGTACTCTAATTGACAGCTTCCTTTCGTCATTCTTTTTTTCTGATGGTGGAGAAATCTCCGAAAGGTTCACGGCGTATGGTTGGATACTCAATAGATAACGGTCCACTCATCTACCCTTCTCCACTCAAATAGACAAGGTACAGTGGCTTGCGTTAACACATTTTTTTTAGTTAACAATAATACTCAGAAAATATTTGAAATCAAAGAAGACCGTTCTACTATATTGCCAACAAATTGGGAGTTGGGACAGAGACTAACTATTAAGTATTTAAGCCAATGAAAAAATCAACTACATACCTGAGCAGGAGTAGCCATGAGCTTAGGGGAGTCGTAAATGTCCAAAAATGGCGGCATATCAGAATTTTGAGGCCGAGAGAAGAGTGCGTCTGGATTATTTGCAGCAACAGAGGCAAGCTTACTTAGAAATGGGTCCTTAGGGTTAAAAGGAGGCATCGGAATGTTTGAACTGCTATTGCTATAGGCTGCACAGCGAATGTTGAAGCTACGGTGTTTCAGCGTCATCGATGAAGACGAAGAACATGGAATTGAGGACGCCATGGGCAACCGCAAGCACGTGGCCATGATTTCTCCACGGATGAATTTTGATTCTTCTGGTCTCTTTCAACGGAAGCTTGAAAGGAAGAAACTGAGCTCTAGAAGTATAACCAATGAGGATGGGGAATTTGGATAGTGTGACTTAATCAGGTCGGGTCATGAGAGATCCGACCAGTCCATGTATCGGAATGGGCTTATAGCTCATGCCGTTAACCTGTGGTCGATAATGGGCTCTTAATTACCATTATTATAAGAAAAAAATTACTTAACTTCTTAGAAACTATATTTATCAAACGGATAATTTCATTAAACTATTAAACACAGTGATACTAACGTTTTTTTCTTTGCTGATGGATACAGCTCGGTTGAGGTAGTTTTTGGTGATAATATAAGTGCATCTCATAAAATACAAGTGTGATACACTCAAACACAACAACATACAAGTGCTTTTAGGGATAGTTGGGGAGTTTTTAGCGATGATACATGTGTATCTCATAAAATATAAGTTTGATACACTCAAATACAGTGACATATACAAATGTATATTTTTTTTTGTTCCTCACTCGGTATTCGATACTCACATGGGGTCCGACTAAATACGAATTCGCTCCAAAAAGTCCCACATTGGGAGTAAAACACTCCTAGGTATATAAATTGTAAGTTGCATGTGTAGCATTTTCGGGTGTGTTGAAGAATTGAAGTGCACTTGCTATATGTGCTCATATAGAACGGGATACAATATATTTTGCTTGGATATGGTGTATTCAATTAAATTATACGTATTAATACAACTAAATTGAGCAAACATATAAATCCAAATATACTTCAAACTATAATTATTTATAAAAACTCTCCCTCTTTTCTTTTTTTTTATAATATTTTGGTCCAAAACATAAGAACTCAGCAACTAAGGGTGTGTTTGGTATGAAGGAAAATATTTTCCGGAAAATGTTTTCCAATTTTCTCATGTTTGGTTGGGTTAAATGTTTTGGAAAATGTTTTTCAAATCAACTCATTTTCCTCAAATTTAAGGAAAATGACTTCCCTTCAAAACTTTAGGAAAACATTTTCCAAAACTCTCTTCCAACTTCCAATTAAAAAAAAAATTGTTGAAAAAATCAATTTATTTTGTCCCTACTCTCAAACCAGACCCCCAAAAAAAAATAAAAATTTAAAGCTTGTTTTTAAATTCAATTTTTTTACCCACCCTCACCCCTACCCCTACCCCCACCCCGTCCCAAAAAAATATTAAAAATTATTTTTAAAAGATATTTCTAATTTCAATTTTTTATTTTTTATCCCCACTCACTACTCTTGCCCCCTCTCCCCCCCTCTATCAATTTTTTCTATTGTTTTTAAAAAATATTTTCAACTTCAATTTTTTATTTTTTCATCCTGATCCTTGATCACCCACGCCTCCTCCCCGGCCTGCCCCCCCTCCCCCCAAAAAAAAAATTGAGTTTGTTTTAAAAAATATTTTCTACTTCAAAATTTTATTTTTTTCACCCCTACACTCGATCCCCCCCAACTCACCCACCCCCTACTCGCCACCCCTACCCCAAAAAAATAAATTTAAGTTTGTTTTTAAAAAATATTTTCAATTTCAAAATTTCATTTTTTCACCCTACCTTGACCCCCCTCACACACCTCCTACCCAGCCCTCCACCCACCCCACCCCTACCACCCCCCTCCCCAAAAAAAATTTAAGTTTGTTTTAAAAAAATATTTTCAACTTCAAAATTTCTTTTTTTCACCCATACCCTCGACCCCCCACCCACCCACCTCCTACCCAGCCCCCCACCCCCCAAAAAAAAATTAAATTTGTTTTTAAAAATATTTTCGATTTCAAAATTTCATTTTTTCACCCATACCCTCGACCCCCACCCACCCACGCCCTACCAGCCCCCCCCCCAAAAAAAATAAAAAATTTAAGTTTGTTTTTAAAAAATATTTTCAATTTCAAAATTTCATTTTTTCACCCCTACTCTCGACCCCCCCACCCCCTACCAGCCCCTCCCCACCACCACCACCACCATCCCAAAAAAAAAATTAAGTTTGTTTTTCAAAAATATTTTCAATTTCAAAATTTCATTTTTTTCACCCCACCCCCTACCAGCACCCTCCCCCTCCACCACCCCCAAAAAAAATTTAAGTTTGTTTTTAAAAAATATTTTCAACTTCAAAATTTTATTTTTTCACCCCAACCCTCGACCCCCCCACCCACCCCCTACCAGCCCCCAAAAAAAAAAATTAAGTTTGTTTTTAAAAAATATTTTCAACCTCTACCCTCAACCCACCCCCTACCCCCCCACCCCACCCCCAAAAAAATTTAAGTTTGTTTTTAAAAAATATTTTCAATTTCAAAAATTATTTTCTACCCTAGTAAAAATAAAAGATATTTCGCAAAAAAAAAAATCATTCATAAATCAAACACTAAAAATCTTTTTCGGAAAATATTTTCTACTCACCAACCAAACATGAGAAAATAAGTCAAAAATCAACTTGTTTTCCAGGAAAACATTTTCCTTCCTACCAAACACACCCTAAATTTTATTTATTTATTGGAGTTGTGAGATTTCACACCCTTGCCATATAACAACAAAAACTAACTTTTATTTATTTATTGAAGTTGTGAGATTTCACACCCTCGCCATATAGCAACAAAAACTAAAATTTATTTATTTATTGAAGTTGTGAGATTTCACCCTTGCGACATAGCAGCAAAAAAAATGTTACCCGTCTCGTTTGATACTACAATTTAGACTATCTTCGAATCCATCTACAAACACATTCTTCACAAACTATCGTCTTGGTGAGCAATCGCTCCAATGGATACACTTTAGTCTTTTGGAAGAAACATATTCTTCATAATCCTAAAAAAATAAAAGAATATAGTTTTTTTTGGGAGGATGATTGGCCCATGAAAATATCAAATATTAAGTAACAGGACTATATGGTTTCTTCAATAACCCATCATTCTACGTTCTGAAAAAATCCCAAATTTACAAGTGAAGTTGTCTCCCCTTTGTAAAGGCACTTTGATAGTCTTGAATGAATGAATTTTAATATAGAAACTGAAATCTTACAAAAAATATTGCTTATGTTGATCAGAGACTCGCCCGAAGGGCAAAAAAGAATTCCCAAACAACAATGAAGACCGAATAGGCAAACACACGATATACTTCACACAGTAAACAAATAACAACTGTTTCAAAGCACTCCAGATCATATGGAGAACCTCACATAGAACAAAACTACTACTTATGAATCATTAAGTAAACCAGCAGGTCCTTCTTAGCTGGAAGCCACAGGCTGAGTACTGAACACCTTAGCAATCTTCTCTGTAGGTACCAATGGAAGATATGAAGCAACCTTGTATCCCTTCTCTGCTGTTTGCTGAACCATCACATTGTATTTCTCGGAATAGTAAGCAGCTGTTGGAACAACGGCTTGAGTGACTTTAGGAACAATGGGAAACCTGTTGAGAGAGAACCAAGCTGATGCAGCATATTGCTCGGCCATTGGCTCGTACTTGGTGTAAAGTCCCTTGGCAGTGGGCTCATACTTGGCATACACTGTTTTAGCAAGTCCTGATGCAGCTCCCATCACACCAGCACTTTTGACATCAGCTGCAACAGAACGAGCAGCTGCAGGAGCTTGCTTGACCATAGGGGGAACACGAGTCTCAATCTGACGAACAGACTGATCAACCTGCAAAAATGGTTGAATTCATGTCAATCACATATGTCTTTATGGTGCAGAACTTCAAAGCTACAACCCAATAAATGGTAAGGGAACTGATCCAAGATCCAAGAGGTTTCAACAATTTGACTCGATGTTTGTAATAAAAACTTGGAGCATTTCAACGAACTGTAGGATAGACATAGACTAATATGATATTTAACTACAAGATATGCAGTGCCATTAGCTCTATGTTTCAATCACACCCTGCCCCTATTTTCACATAAGGAAAAGCTGTGATATACTTTATACATCAGTCTAAGATTATTATCAGATCCACTGACCACCATTATGTACATACATTAGACACCTGAATGCCCCCAAAACAAAGGCAATCTGCACCACAACAGCCCTAGATTTTACAACATTTGGCGAAATCTGAAAAGCATTCCCATTATGAGATCCTTTGATGGGGAATTGTACGCAACGGATTAACAAGATGTGAATGTTTTTTAACTAAGGCTGTGTCTAACAACAGAAGCTCACCACCAACAACCAATACTTCATCACCCTTTAACATCCAATCCTAATCATATACGCTAATTCAATCTCTTCCAAGTGCACATGCCAGAAAATGAATAAATTAAGTCCATAACGTCTAACCTATCCAAAATACACCCCAAGTAATTTTTGCTGCAATCCATGAAATTCATAGAATAGATTTGACTAGTACAAAACTAGCAAATTTCAAGTTTCTATTTCAAAAATGCGGATTCAGTATTATTGTCATGACCCAAGAACATCAACAAACATCAGGACTTCGATAACAACACCATGAAACTAATCAATCCAGAAAATGTATGTTCCAATTGTGAAATAAAATATAGTAATAACAAAAAATGTAGAATTTCCATCTCAAAAAGTGAACAATAATGCAATTCAAATACATTTTAAGAAATAAAATTCCATTGCAATCATATAAGGAATTATACCTTGCGGTCGACAAATTTGAGTACTTCGACGGGAACATCATGAAATTTATCATAAACAGGGCCAACCACGGTCTTGACGGTGCCTTCAACAGTCTGAACACCAGGCTTCAAGGGACCAGAATTCTCTTTAGCGTAACCATACACCTTCACCACACAGAGCGCCGCATGAATCATCGCCACTTGTAAGAATTCCAAATACTTCAATTTTTCTTCCTCAATCTGAGCCTTCATCACAGAATCAAATTAAAAAAACACAAATCAGACAAAAAAAAAGGCAAAAATTTCATCAAATCAAAAATCGATACAAACAAGAAACCAATCGAAAATGAAGATTTAATTTGAAATTCAAATTACCATCTCGGGTTGTTGAGGCTTAGGGTTTGTTTCGGCCATGATAAAAAGATCACAGAGATTTCGATATGAACGAAGAATCGCAAATTGAATAAAAGTTATGAAGAAAACGTCGATTGGGGTTTTGTGTTTGGTTAGCGTTCAGCGGAGGGGCTTATATAGTACGGGGGGCACGCATGTCAAGGAGAGCGGATGGGCAAGGAAACTTAACCTCGTGGCCAATGAGAAACCGGCTTTCTTTATTCCGTAATTTTGTGCTATTTTAGCTCTATTGCGTGAAGGTGGTGGACTTTGCTGACTACTTGTTGGCTAAGTCATTTGTGAAGTATTTATTTTAATTTATTATTTGCCCTTTTCACCATCTTCTAGAAGTCGAGCTAAATTTAATATCATTGGTCCATTCATATGAAATCATGATGATAAAATGGGGGAAGAAATATGAAGTTATGATTTTAAATTGTTTGAACATGTGATTTGGGATTAGGATTTGAAATTTAAATTTTTTAAAAAAAAATAATTAAAATTTTAAATCATGATTTTAATATTTTTAAAATGTAATTTTCACTTGTTAATTTATATTTTATAAAAAAAACTCATCATTTTAAATTTTTTAGAATAATTTATTACAGTGTAAAAAATTATCCATATTAATTGAGTATAGATTTTTACTTGAATCCAAAATATATTGGAAGTAAACTTTTTATCTTTCATAAAATAAAAACTAGATTGTATGTATACTAGTTTCTTCAAAATACACTAATAAAATTAAACCTAATATGTTATTATATTGTTTGTAATTAATTTCGTACTAAATTGCTAATGAATAAGAAAACTAATGATTTTAGCTTAGCGTTTAATTTGTGCAGTTTGATTTGCATTTCGATTTCACCCTTTCCATTAGTAGAAATGTTATTCATGTGATCCTAATTCATTGAAGAGGATTAATAGTAATAACAATATTGTTTGAAGGGTGCAAAACATTAACATCATCAACTTTGACCATCAACGAAAAGAAAGTTTAAAATAATTATTAAACTAGATATACAACTTTTTCTTTTTTTAATAGAGAGCGTTTTATTTTAAATATTATTTTTTTTTTAGAAATTTAATTTTAGTTAAACTTCAATATGAGTATTGAATACAAGATGAAAATAATTTTTTTTAAAAAAACATTTAGTAATCTGCTTAAATAATCAATAGGAAAGCCCCATGCAGAAAGCTTGTAGTCCTATGTTCAATCTCAATTTTCACAAAGAAAAATGCAAAATAAATTGTCTCCCACTTAAATTACATATATGAAGTCACCAACTAGCCGTCTTTTTTTATCATTCCTTATTATAGCAACTTTTATGTGGAATTATTGCATATTTATCTTCATTCATCAAAACACCATAAAAAGTATATTTAAATTATTAAATTTGAAAAAAGAACTTAAAGTCCATCCTTAATGTTGATACTCTCAAATTTAACAAATGCACAAAATGTGTTAATTCTAATTTGAAGGTGGGTGTTCAAATATCTTGTTGAGAACATAGGGGTGAAGCTTATGCTGAATTTTGAGCTTACTTGGAGTTGATTTGAAGAGTTATTGTCTAGTTGATTTTTTAAGTTTATGCATCAAATAAATTGAGTTGACGTGTAATGTATGTTTCCGTTGTATATATATATACATCTTCTCTATATTCACATATATTTTGTATATCACATAACAAAATTTTGTATTATGTATTGTGAGACATGATATACATTGTTATATATATGTTTTAACCATATTGATTTTATATATGAATTTCGACTCCAAAACCATCATAGGCCTCCTTAAATTTTATATGTAATTTCATTAAGGTGTGTTTTTTCAAGAGAATTTCGATTACACTAACTAAAAAAGCAACTATTCAATCTATTTCTTTTTAGTATATATTAAGAGAACATTACTCTTTATATGTAATATTTTTTTTTCATTTCAATGATTCTCATATCATGTTCAACGTAATAGGATTTGAAAGACATTTAAGTACATTTCATATACTTTTAGTTTAAGATAGTAACATTTAATTTTTTTTATTTTTTTTTTGTATATAATCAAACTAAGAGATATAAAATGACACGTAATGATTATCATATTATTTAGTCTATTAGTAAGTAATTATAAAAATATTATTTTGTGTTGGATATTTTTAATTTATGGCTTTTAACGTATAAGTTACTTTAAAATAATTATTCCAAACGACCCCTCAATATGATCACATTGATACTTTATTTTTTCCTTAATTTCTCTTAATATTTGTAATCATGCTTTTATTCTTTACATATATTTTTTTCCCTAATTATAACTTTATCCTGTATTTTTTGTGTGTAACATTATAAATTTATTCTTCAAATTATTGATATGTGGCCTCTCTTCTTTTTGCAATTAAAAATTATCATGCATGTTTAATGAAAAATTATTTGCCTCTTATAAATATATCCAAATATCATATTTATCAAAACAATATAGGGTAATACAATATCATAAATTATGAAGCATAGTGTAACAATCATCCAAACAAGCTCTTAGGGGTTGTTTAGTAGTTGATTTGATAGTGAATTATGCTGGTATTAATTATGCATAAATAATAGTATCATATATTTGATAGCCGATTAAGAAGTAATTTATAAAGATATAAAAGTAATTAGGTGTTTGATTTGCGATTTACAAACCTAACATAGTTAATACTCCTATAAATTATGAGAGAAAATATGTATTGTTCTATACCAAAAATAGAAAATGAAATAATCTAACTTAACTTTACCTAACTAATCATATACATCAAAAAATATAAATAATTTTTTTTACAACTAATCCTTGGCTGCATAACTCAAGTCTCTAACCATCTCATCTGTTTCTGTATTAAGGATCCACCAAGTATCATGGGCCAGCATTATCCACATTCTTCTATGGGCCGTTTAGGGCTTCAACTTGAACTAAGAAAAGCCCACTAAGATTCCAAACCTATCATATAAAACGTCGCAAACTAGGGTTCAAGGACAGAAAACTTTGCTGCTGAAATCGCTGGAGGCAACTGTGTGATTTCTCTCACAACTTCCCCAATCTTCTTCCAGCAGCCATGGTATTTTCTCTTCCTCTATCTGCATCTATGGAGGCCTTCTGTTTTCTATCGAAGTTTCTAATTCGAATTTGTCAATTTTTTTCAGATTATCTCAGAGAAGAACCGTAGAGAGATCTCCAAATACCTCTTCCAAGGTCAGTATCTTTATCTCTTATCTTTTTCTGTACGTCATTTCGTAAGTTTCATTTTATGATGTGATTTTTTGGTGTTGTTGTAGAGGGAGTGTGCTACGCGAAGAAGGATTACAACTTGGCCAAGCATCCGTTAATCGATGTGCCAAATCTACAGGTTATCAAACTGATGCAGAGCTTCAAATCTAAGGAGTATGTTCGCGAGACATTCGCTTGGATGCACTACTACTGGTACCTTACAAATGATGGCATTGAGTTCCTCAGGACTTATCTTAACCTTCCATCTGAAATTGTCCCCGCTACACTGAAGAAATCGGCTAAACCCCTTGGTCGTCCCATGGGTGGCCCTCCAGGCGATCGTCCACGGTAATTACCTTTTCAGTATGATTGATTAGTTTGAAATTGAGTTTTTTGCGAGTTCTAATTGATTTTCGTTGTGTATTTGTTCAAAAAAATAATTATGGATGTGCTACTGGTTTTGCAGTGGACCACCAAGGTTTGAGGGTGATAGGCCAAGGTTTGGCGACAGAGATGGTTACCGTGCTGGACCTAGAGGTCCACCTGGTGAGTTTGGAGGTGAGAAGGGTGGAGCTCCAGCTGACTACCAGCCTGCTTTCAGGGTAATTGCTCTTTTCTTTTAAATCCTGAAGCATTTTTTTTACTTTAGTTAGCCTAACAATTGTATTTATGAGCATTGTTTTCTTGTTGTTTGAAGTAAATAGACTATGTTTCTGTTGATTGAATAAGAATTATCTATTTATTCTGTATTTGTTGAAAGGAAGTGTGTTGATGCCACTGAAAAGTGTCTGAAATAGCTCAAACAAGCTTCCGAATTCTAACAAAATTTCCTGAAGTTTCCCTTTTGAGATTCAAATGAGTTTTTCAGTGTTCCCTTGGTATAAAATGGAGTCATCATATCTATCAGCTGCAGCATCTAGATGTTATCATTTTGTTGTTGGTCTTGTTCCCGGTTAGTGCATATTTTAGTTGCCAATTGAAACCTATAACTTGGAGTAACCTAATTTATCCAAAGATCAACTTGAATTCGTTGGTCTATTGCTTGACTTTCATTCTACCTGTCAGTATGTTATTTGCTTCAGATTAGTTGTTGCCTATAGCTAAGTTGCTCTGACTCCGTAAATGTTGCCGCACCATTGTTGGATCCCCTAATAAAATTCACTACTTTGGAAGAGTCCAAGCAATATTAGGTCTATAGAGATATTAGTCAGGGAAATACAAAAAAGCAGAGAAGTGAGTTGCTGATTGTTGATTTGGGTTCTCCTATGTACTGCCTTATTTGGGTTTTGTAGTCCCGTGGGAGAATCTAGCTGTCACAAGTGAGCTTCATCTGTTAAGTAAAGTATCTTTGGTCTGAATGTCAGTAATCTGCTACATTTTTCTTCTCAGTAGGGTGTTGTCTTTTAGAAATATTATTGTCTTGATACCTGAGTTTTGTTTTTCTTCACTTCATTGGTGCGTGAATCATCATTAAGTTGTGTTGGCGATACTTTGGTTCATGAGAAAGTATCTTGGATCAAATATCTTTTGTGTTATTTCACCCAATTTTAAACTATCATGTTAACACTTTATAGGGTTCTGGTGGAAGACCTGGATTCGGCCGTGGATCTGGAGGTTTTGGTGGCGGTGCACCTACTAGTTCAAGCTTCTCTTAGATTCCTGCCATCTTAGACTTAGTGGTTGTTTCAATTTTGAAATCAGATGTTGAAATCACTTTGGATTTTCATTTTCTTGTTAAAACTTAATATTCCAAGCAGGGTAATTTTATCTTTGTTGATCTTTAGAGAACTATAAGTTTTGTTCTGTTCCTTGTTCGTTTGTGTCTTTTGAGATATACTTTCAAGTTATTCCAATGTGACATTATCAGGTACTTTATATATTGTTGATGGTTTTAATCCTACTCCCTGTTAAATTATGAATGATATGAAATTGTACCATTACTGAGTTATTTTGGAGATGCCAGTCTTGCGATAGGCTAAGGATTTTTTCGTTGGCTGTTCCTTTTCTCTAGTGACACGGCAATATGAAATTGTTGAAGGATCAAATTGATAGAATTTGTGTTTTGTAAATATAGTTTCAATGTTTTTCGATATTAGTTTGTTCATTAGTTTTTCGTATTATCAGAGTTTACGGTAGAAAAATGTTTTGGTATTTGGTAATTTCCGAGTGCCAATAGCTACTTCTGTGTCACTGAATTGCATGTTCAATTGCTGTACTCAATAAGAGGCTTACCTCATAAGGTCTTCAATAAAACCTGGTAATATAAATTTTTAGGTCTCCTTTTAAAACATTTTAGTTCTTCCACAACACTAATTCAAGTTTCTACAGATCACACAAAAATACAGTCCTTGGTAATAGTATATTAGTATTATTGGAAAAGGGTCAAAATTGCCCTGTACTATGTGAAATAGATCACTTATACCCTTCGTTACATTTTGGGTTAAAAAATGCCCCTGCTGTTATCCTAAGAGACCACAAATACCCTCAAGAGTTAACACCTCAAATTTTTATTGGCGTGGCAAGCCACGTGGGACTAATCCTTCCACCTAGCGTTGCCAACTAGGATTCATTACAAAAGAACTAGACCTTTAGCGGCAACAACAGTCTCCACAAAAGCCCAGAAAACCGTCACTAAAAGTTTTTAACATTAAATTCTAATTTTGTGTTTTTTTCTTCATTGTTTTTAAAAAATAAAAAATGATATCGATTAAGTAGGAGTTTGAAGAAACTGTATGTATTATTTTTATGTCATATGTAAATGTATAAAATGTACAATGATGCATTATATAGTAGGAGATTTGAATCGAGAAGTAATTTTGATGATTTTTCGTAATAATATTGTATGTTTTTAATATTGATATTGCAAGTTATTTATTTTAGAAAATTAGGTTGTAATAAAAAATAAATTATCATATTTTTTTGTTGAAAAAATAGGTTTTACTAGCGAATGGTTGTTGGAGCCTTAGTCGCCACTAAAAATCACTCATAACCTTTAGTGACAATATTTTGGGAATTTGTGGCGACTTTGTCGCCCCTAAAGGTCAAGTTCTTTTGTAGTGAATCTTAGTTGGCAATGCTTAGGTGGAGGGATTAGTCCCATGTGGCTTGCCACGTCACTAAAAATTTAGGGTGTTAACTCTTGAGGGTATTTGTGGTCTCCTAGGATAACAACGGGGGTATTTTTGATCCCAAAATGTAATGGAGGGTATAAGTGGTCTATTTCGCATAGTTCAAGGGCAATTAGGGGCAATTTTGACCCTTTTCCGTAGTATTATTATGTAAACTAATAAACAAATTGGTTTTCTATTTAACTCAAGAGGAACAGTAGTGTTATGCGTTAGAACCAGTTGAGCGATTCAAACAAACTGAAGAAAAGAATGCGGGTGAAAATAAAACTAGTAAAGAGTCAAATTAAATGGCCAAGTTTACTCTACAATCTTAAAGGGTAAACAACAAATGAAAAATGCAAAAAGAAAAAGGAAAGCTACTCATGAATGCAAAAATACAAAATATAGTGTGTTCGCTCTATAATTCATCATAAGCCTCCTCCTCCTCATCTCCTGAATTTGCAGAACTTGCACCACTCTTCTCATAGACCTTCTTTATGACAGGATTGCATACATCTTCCAAGTCTTTCATCTTCTCATCATAGTCTTCTTTCTCCGCGTTTTGATTATCATCCAACCACTCTGTAGCTTCCTTAAGAGCGTTCTCTATCTTCTTTTTGTCATCAGAATCAATCTTCTCTGCGAGCTTGTCGTTGATTGTGTTCTTCATGTTGTAAATGTATGTTTCGAGCTTGTTCTGAGCATCCACCTTCTCCTTTACCTTTCTGTCTTCCTCTGCAAACTCCTCCGCCTCCTTCAACATTCTATCGATTTCTTCCTGGCTTAGACGCGACTTGTCACTAGTGATGGTAATAGATTTCGATTTCTTAGCTGCTTTGTCTTGTGCTGTTACATGTAGAATTCCATTCTCATCAACCTGAAAAGTCACCTCAATTTGTGGCACTCCCCTACAAAAGATTTTAACATTATGTACTTGGATCAGAAGTTCCAAAGCTCATGAAAATGATATTAAAGGTTTTTTTCCTTCCTTATAGCTACTTCTCATTCATCAAAACTTACCTTGGAGCAGGTGGTATACCAGACAAGTCGAAGCTTCCAAGTTCACGACAATCCTTCGTTAAGCTCCTTTCACCTTCATATACCTAAAGGATATCCATAAGATTGTGTTAATTCTTATTTCCAACATGTAAGAACAATGACCAACTATAGTTCAGACTTCAGTCTGATGCCAAACAATTGCGGAAATTCTAGCAATGTTACCTTAATTGTTACAGATGTTTGTTGGTCTTGATAGGTGGTGAAAACTTGGGTTTTCTTGACAGGTATCCTACTGTTTCTTGGAATCAACTTTGTCATAACCCCACCAACTGTCTCAATTCCCAGACTTAGAGGAGTTACATCAAGCAACAAAAGATCTGAGAAAAAAATAATAATAATGTCAAAACCATGTTATGCAAACTAAAAAAGAAACACAACAAAAAATGCTTCTGTTATATCAGAGGAAAAAACATAAATTAGTTACCTTTGGTCTCTTCCCCTCCTTCACCACCAAGGATTGCTCCTTGTATTGCTGCTCCGTAAGCTACAGCTTCGTCAGGATTAACACCCTTGTTAGGTTCTTTCCCATCAAAGAAATCCTTCAAGAGTTGCTGCACCTTTGGAATTCGAGTACTCCCACCAACGAGCACGAGTTCATCAATATCCGTCTTCTTCAAGTTTGCATCCTCTAATGCCTTCTTGACTGGACCCATTGTCTTCTTGAACAAATCCATGTTCAACTCCTCGAATCTCGCCCTTGTTAATGGCTCGGAGAAGTCAATACCATCAAAAAGAGACTCGATCTCGATACGTACTTGGTGCTGGTTACTTAAGGCCCTCTTGGCTCTCTCACATTCTCTTCTAAGCTTTCCAAGAGCTTTCTTGTCATTACTAATATCCTTGCTATATTTCCTCTTGATCAACTTGATGAAATAGTCCATTAGTTTGTGATCGAAGTCCTCTCCTCCTAAGTGAGTGTTACCATTTGTTGCTAGGACCTCAAAAACACCATTATCAATGCTAAGTATGCTAACATCAAATGTGCCACCACCAAGATCATACACCAAAATGTTCTGTTCTTTCCCTTTCTTATCCAATCCATAGGCTATAGCAGCCGCAGTCGGCTCGTTTATTATCCTAACTACATTCAGCCCTGCTATGGTACCAGCATCCTTGGTTGCTTGCCTTTGTGCATCATTAAAATAAGCTACATATGAACCAAATAACTCAATCAACAACAACAAAAAAAGAGAACAACTTTTTCAGGATCAAAGTTATAGCAATTATGTGAAAATACATGTTATTGATATCTTTTTAATGTCGTTTAAGTTTACCTGGAACGGTGATGACAGCGTGCTTAATTGATTTCCCTAGATATGCCTCAGCTGTTTCCTTCATTTTCTGCAAAATCATAGCACTAATTTCCTCTGGGCTAAACACTTTAACGTCGCCCTCTTTAATCTTCACTTCTACATAAGGCTTGCCATCTTTGTTCACAATATTAAAAGGCAACATTTTGATAATTTTCTGAACTTCCGGATCATCAAACCTACCAAAACAACACCGACAAAATCAAATCAGAACACCAAAAATCACACAAGCTCCACAATACAACTTTCACAACAAAACAATTTTTTTTAGCTGATCATAAACTTACTTCCTTCCAATAAGCCGTTTAACATCATATATAGTCCGTTCGGGGTTAAGAGCTGCTTGGTTCTTTGCAGCTTCTCCAATTAACCTCTCTGTATCAGTAAATGCAACCCATGAAGGGGTGATTCTGTTTCCTTGGTCGTTCGCTATGATCTCGACATTGTTCTCACCTTTGTATACACCCACACAAGAATATGTTGTCCCTAGATCAATTCCAATCACTGTTCCAAGATTCTGTTTCTGTTTTTTCTCAGCAGCTACTGTTACTCCTAAGCAAAACTCTTCCAGAACATTTTAAAAAACAGTCAGCAGCTGCTCATCATGCAGTAAAATTCAACTTATCTTTGAAGAACAAGAAAAAGCAATCAGAAATATGAAGAATCTAACTACAAATAAATATATCAGGAAAATTGAGACTATTTCAACAAAAAAACTATAACTTTACAGGAAAACCACTGATTTATATGGGAAAGTCTCTATTTTTACTACCTCACAAGATGAAAACAGAGAAGATAAATTGAAAAAAACATTAGTATGCAAACAAATTATCTAGTTCTAACTCAACCCCAAAAGTCAGTTCATATTATCCAAATAATTCATATAAGCAAACCACCCGTCCAATTCCTACATTACTTTAACCCACTTTAACACCCCATGGAACGGGCCCAAACGAGACAACCCTACGCTAATACCTAACTCAACCCAAAAGTTAACTCACGAGAGCAGAATTGTCCAAGTTCATATAAACAGAGAGTCTCTTCCCAACCAAAGTGGGGACTTTAACCCACCCTAATAATTTCAACAATATATAAAAACAAACTTGTGCATGTATAGCAATACCCAAACAACAACAAAAGTAAAATTAAGAAGTAAAAGGAGGCAAAAAAACAAGAAAACTTGTAAAGGTAATAAGAGTAATTAGATAATCACCTGAAGCAAAAAGAAGCAAAATCAAGAATGCTAAGTTCTTGAAATCCTTTGAACGTCTCATTCTCATTAATTCTCCCTTGATTGATGAATTCTTGATTATTGAGGCTATTTAAAGTTGAGAGTTGTGAGTGAATTTTTAGTTTGATGACATAAAACTAGAGTGTTCTCTCCAATAGCAGAAGTTGATATGCTGTTTCTTGCTTCAATAATA